TGGTATTTAATTTTTAAACGTTTGGATTGAGTATGTTATAATAAATATGTGATGTTGGTTGAATGTGCGCTGCGGGCTCTCTGAAGATGGAAGATAAACATTATTTTATGTTATGTACTACCTACACTTGACAACTCGGATTCTGCACACTGGACAGCTTAACAGAAACTACTCTCACAGAAAAATAGCTGTTGTACGTAATTTTTATTTATATGATGCGATTTAAATAATTTTAAAGCTACTTCATACACATTTAGCTAACAAGTTCTTAAAATCCTCTCATCCAGTGTACATTTGATTTTGAAATACATGTGGTAGATTGAAGGATTTACAAGTTTACAAAAACCCACGCGAAAAGTTCACAGTTTGCGAATTCTGGGGTGTAAACAAGAACGTAAATATTAATTAGACCCGACTTCCTGTAGCGATGTGGCAAGGTTTCCCCCACCTTTGGACGCGTTAAAAAATATAAAATGTTTCCTACGTCTGTCCAATTCCTTTTTAACATTTACATAATAAAAAGTCAGCTGTTTTCGTGTAGAATGGCTTTAAGGAAATAAACAGATGAAATTGGTCTGAGCTCATCTTCAAGAGATAAATTTATCCTCGTCGACAAACGTTTAAAAAATAAAAATAAGCATTGTCAAGGTGGCAGATAAATTTAATGCTATCCTTTGGCAGTCAGATAATCCAAACATGTAATATTAATTTTATTAATTAGTTAAAGGATCATCAGAAGCACTGATAACTTCAAATGCTGCTTTCAGCTTATTAAACGTGTTTTAGAAAATATTATTTAGGTATTAGTGTATAAAACATATTAGTGATATACTTTAATAGGGCACTTACTTTAATCTTAATAACGTTGATAGTTATAATTTGACTACTAATATAATATAACATTACTATTGCAAATGATAACTATAACAATAGTTTTACCGTCGATATTTCATGAAAAATGCAAGGAAACTATTCGCTTCACAGCAACTTCATAGCATGTCCGTCTGAATTAAAACACTTGTTTTTTCTAATCGCCATACAAAATGTATGGCTGCACTTAACATACGTAACACATTAGAGCAATGCAAGTCAATATTGGCCAAGCATTTAATACACAACAATCAACATAAATGTATTAATAAACCAGCTTAATTGGAATATCAATTTGCCGTTTGTTCAGCCTAATTGTTAGAGGTTCTTTGTAATGGTACTGTTTTGTAATAGTCTTTTGGTATTATTGTATTTCTTAAATCACTTTAAAAGTTTTATTATTGATGGAATTTTAATATTGTTGTCATTCATACATGTATCAAGAAATTTTCTTCTAACTTGAGTTATTGACAGTGCTTTACGCTATTATATTTTTAAATACTTACATATATTTGTTTTGCATGTTTTATAACATCATTGCTTAACTCATAATTCCAGTTAATGTCTGAGGCACAGCTTCGCCATCGTTCTTTTTGTTGCTTTGTGAAGGTTTTGTATGTTGGCCTTTATTTTGGAATTAATCATTTGTGGTATTTATGGACATTGATTTAGAACATATTGGAAACATTTTCTATCACAATAAGCACAAAAGCAAGTCTTACTGGAGCAGTTATTTGTCGATATAATATACCATTTCAGCTGAAGGCTGAATCAAGTTTCTGATGCCGAAATCTCGTAAAGCATGGATTTTACTATCGTTGTACAAAGTTTTGATTTTAATAAAATTAAAAATTGTGTTTAAATATTTTAAAGTTTAAATATTTATTGGTAGTTTATTATATATGGTGAGTTTTCTTAGTACACTGTTATTGTTTACAGAAAACTCCCACAACAATTTTGTCCCTTAACTATTGGCTCAGGATGTTTAAACTCTTTAGATGTTTTAGGAACAAATCTTTTGGAACCATCACGTGTATTCATGTATGTATATGATTTTTAAAATAAATTAATTTTAAATTAAACATTCGTATTTAATTAAGTGTCATACAAACTTACAGATTGGGAATACATTTGACGATATCAATTTTATATTTATTTAAAAGTATGCATATGATCTCAAATTTATTTGTAAAGGTTAAATTCCCCACTATTATCGCACTCAAGTTTTAATACAAATATATAAACCCTAATACGTGTTGTTGTTGCCTTTAAATCCTGATATTTAAAAAATGTAAACGTTTTGTATGGATCTATCAAATTACACAAAATACTTCTCGAAATCAGCCAATTAAAGTTTTTTTTTTATTTGCCCATGTTAATTCACTCTCATAAAAATGTCATGAAAGTATCATTATGAAATTAAATTAAATTAAATTAAATGAAATGTGCTTTATTGTACAATTTGGAACATTACAGAACTAACAGAGATAAACATAGTTAAACCATTATAAAACGATAAACGGTGCTTTAAAAACAAAAAAGACATTTTATATGGTATTCCCAGATTCAAGAACAAATAATTAAGTATGTTGTTTACCTTTTGATGGCCAGGTTCTTGATGAATTAAAGTCCAACGCCTTTCACAGATGAAGTCCATCACCTCAAGAAGCCAGTACAAAGACAACAGCCGGGCAGTCGAACAGTGACATATATGTAGCACCCCCGGTCCGCGCACGCGCTCGCGTGCTCGGGATTCCACACTCGCGCCATGAATCGTCCGCGAATGTAAATAAAATAGGATAGTGCGTTTTTTTAGTAACTAAGTGATGTGAGAAGAAACAAGAAACAGCTCCTGATGATGCCACACTAGTGGCGAAATGTACATAGAGCGTAAACTTCTTAATTCATCAAGAACCTGACAAATCAAAAGTTAAACAACATAATTAAAAAGACACTTTTTTATACTTAAAATTCAGAAAACGTTAACAATATAACTTAATGTAGATTTAAAGGATTGTTTATCAAATTTAATACATGATGACAATATATTCAATCAAATATTATACAGTACTCATCTCTATTTTCTGTCGGTTGAATGCTAAGACTATTGGATCGATAGTAGACTACTCTGTTCGAAGTTAGAATCATAATGTAAAATTTCAGCACCTTTTGGGTGTTAAGTGCAACCAATATCACCCTTCACAAAAAGAAAAATACAAAATCTCTGTTATACGTTCACTTCGATACTTCTTAAGCGATTCAATTCAAAAAGGAATTTGCAGTGTCTAGGTAGTTTACAACATAGACTGCACGATCCTATTGCATATTTTTATAGTTTTTATACTCAATTTCCACTACAACAATTCGTACTGTATTTATGAATCAAAAGATCCCTTGAAAAAGGAAATATTATAAAATGTATCAATCTTATTCAAACTATGATGATTATACTCGACCACTTAATAGTAGAACATACTTTAATTTTACTTGTTTAATCTGCATCAAAATACTAATGCATTTCTATAAAAAATATTGTTGACAATATTTGACTTTTCAAAATGCTGGTTACATAATCAACGTAAAATTACGTAAGAATAAACTTGAAAATGTAAGCATACGTGAATAAGGTTGGGTACGTAAAACTCGTCTTAATATAATAGATTTACAAACTTTTAAATTAGCAAAGTTTTGCTGCTCAGTATGGTGACCAGTAAAACTCTCTAGTTTTTTTTTTTTTTTTTTTTAGATCATTTTAAATAATGTTTTACTAAGTTTGAGCTCACTTGGAGAATACACTATATTTATCAATTATTTTGTAATAATCAATAACATTTTCCATTTTTATTTTAAGTACATCAAGAAGAATGAAACTAAATTGGTTCCAATATTTCTTTATGAAAATGCAATAGCTTGCTTTGTTGAAGAAAAATTGTATTAAGGCTGCACACAGGAACAAAGGTAGATTCTAAGAAGTGCGAATATTAAATGCTGGAAGCAGAGAGGTAAATATACAGCACTGAACCCTGTAGATAACCTTATGTAAGATAAGCAATTGTTGAGTACATAAGCTAAGCCACCTGTTTCCAATATTTATGCAACGCTGCGACAATATTACTAAGCGGGGTTTTCTCAGTACCACTATCATTGTTTACAACATATTATTGTTATTTACGTTTGATGAAACTATTCTGTTAAGAAACGTCAATCAAAAGATTTGAAATGAAATTTATATGTTTGGTCCTTACAAAAATCGAATGGTAAAATACACTTAATATTATATAATTCACACACGCGTTAACATGAGTAGTAAGAATGCAGTTTTACGTGTTTTTTTTTATTTACAAAATCAGTGCACACGTTTTGTTTATCAATCAAAATAACATAGGTGTAAGCAAATATTGATTGTTAGAAGAATAACTATTTCTTTCACATTGTTTTAAATACATGTATATTACGTACGCTTCATGCTTAAGTAAAAAAAATCAGTCAGTTAAAAATATATTAAGCGTATAGCTTCTTCAGATGATCTAAATAAAATTCCAAAAATGAATACTTTTATATACATAAATGTTTACTGAAGGCATATTAAAATGTACTAGGTCCTTCTTATCTATTGCAAAAGTCATATGCGATCGCGGACGAGAACAGGTGCGATAGCCTCAGGATTACTGTATCCTGGATAACAGTATCCTGGATAGCAGTATTATGGATAACAGTATCCTGGATAGCAGTATTATGGATAACAGTATCCTGGATAGCAGTATTATGGATAACAGTATTCTGGATAACAGTGTCCTAGATAACAGTATCCTGGATAACAGTATCCAATATAGCAGAATCCTGGATAACAGTATCCTGGATAACAGTATCCTGGATAACATTATCCTGGATAACAGTATCCTGGATAACAGTATCCTGGATAACAGTATCCTGGATAACAGTATCCTGGATAACAGTATCCGAGATAACAGGACCTGGGACAACAGTATCCTGAATAACAGTATCCTGAATAACAGTATCCTGGATAACAGGAATTAACAATTTTAACAATTTGCTTTTTTTCTGAGACTGGATATGTCTTCAAGATTGGAATACAATGATTACTCCTGTCAATGAATGTTTGTACTCACCGACGGATGCTGGTCTCCTTTGACATTCTGAAGTGCCTTGTTGTGGGCTGTGGGTGGAGTCTTGGCCTCGGGATTGCTGGCAGAGGAGGTAGCGGGCTGACTAGGAGTTCCAGAAGCTGGAGATTTACTGCCTGGACTTCCGGTCGTCCTGAAAAATCCCCAGGACCACTTTAAACAATGTAAGCTTCTCAATGCCCATTAAAGTCACAATGATTGCCAATGAAAACTGTCAATCAACAAAAAATATTTGTTGGACAGTGCTCAAATTGTACCCTGATATACAAAATACGAGCCTTAATATCTTGGGCTCCTCTTTTGTAATTCTTAGATGAAAGAGTTATAGTTTATTTCACTGACATGACAAGTTTTCCTTTATATTCTTTGCATACAAATAAAGGTTGACGAGGATGAAATCTTTTAAAAGTTGTTTTAACAGATGACAAACTATAAATATGGCTGCAAGACACCCTGTATAAGGAATAAGCTAATACCGTAAGTTTCATAGTAAGACAGTAAACCTAAAATGATAAAAAATATTCATTAACCGAACTTTTTCCATGTTAAATTTGTTTTCTCACCACTAAAATGTTTAATGTTTCATTTTGGAATTTTGTTTTTATACTATAGTAATATTACATATTGAATTAAAACTTAGCTCATAAGTAATTTAAATCAGAGTATGGATGTCTGGACTTTCTTGAAAACAATATAAAGGAACCAAAAGATTCAGACATGCTTCGCATATTTCACAGCTATTTTAAACTAGTAAAACTCTGATTCATGCAGTATTCTCTAAACTATTTTAATTCTATGAATATAAATTATTCTTTAGGATTGCTCCTGTTAAGTTAAAATTCGAGTAAATGAAAAGATCAAATAACATAGATAAGGTTGTTTGAGCTAAACCTTCCTACTGGCGTAAAATATCTCTACTGCCATGTAATATATCTTTATTATTGTTGCAATAGTTTATTATAAGTTTGACTTACTCAATAATCTTTTTAAATATTTTGATAACTCCTGATCCCTTATCAACGTTTCACAACTACTTCGACAGCATACACCGATATCGCTACAATCTTTCCTAAATAAGACTGAAAATTATGGTGTTTCATGAAACTATTAAGGTGGTACTTCAACCTTTGTATTGACTATGTTATAGACTATGCCGACAAGACTAATTAGATGTACCGGAGTAAGTAGCAAACTATTTGAGAATGCATACTTCATGTTGATAATAGAACAAACTGTACAGATAGTTTGCAAACTAAACCGTAATGAAAAGCTTTTCACAGAGTATCACAAGTAGGATTGATTTTAGTAAAACTGGCATAGTTCGTGCTTGTTCGAGAACACTCTGAAATAACATAAATCCTATCATAGCTAATTTGATTACTTTCAAAACGAACATTCCACATCAGTTTGTGAGATGATTTATTTTGAAACAACATAAAACACTCATCTTCTCGTTAAAACATTTAAGCTGCTTATTTCAATAGGATTTAATTGAGAGTTAAAATTGTTTCATCTCAATTGAGAAAGTATGTACAATAACATTCTGAGTAATTAGAGATAGAATGCAGAGAACTGAAAAACAAAGGTAAAAATATAGATCGTACACAATTATTATACAATTTGAATGATCCAATAATGTTCATACCACTTCACAGATTTCGAACATCCAACTTTTAGTAATTTGTTGATTTGTAGAATAGCGTATTGGGTATTCAAACAAAAAATAATGATACTTGGCTTTAGTCTATATCAGTTTAGTCAAGTGGAAGGGGAGTTTTTCAGAAACAGAAACTATGCATGGAGGCGAGGGTTGTAAGTGTAGTTTATTATTAAAGCCCACACCGTGCTCAGATGAACCATAGCAGGGAGCGACACATCGCTTTTGATTTTTCGCGTCAGAGTTGTAGTTGAATGGAATGTTTTGCAAAGTGCTTTCCAAGCAGTGAGAATGTTCTTGAATTATTTGTTTTTTAGAGACCTCCACTTTTTGTAAAAGTGGTTTGCACCAATTTCTATGTTTTGCACATTTTTTATTGGAACATGCTATTCTCAGATAGATTATCTTTCGTTTAAGCAAATATTTGTTTTACTAATCAAGCATGTTTTATCTACGTCCTCCGGTTTCGGAATTTATTCGTGCAAAAAACAAAGATTACAAATCTTTTTCTAAATATACATTTTAAGCCTAATGTTAAAATCATTTTTGCATTTGATTTCCAAAATTTTCCCCCGGATAATTGAATAGAGTTTTTTTATTTTTCAGTTAACTGCGATATTTGAACTGAAAGAAAAATACGAACTTAACAGCAGGAATATTTAAATTCAATTTATTATTATACCTCAGATTGATGATACAAAACTATAAATAGAAGCCTACGTTTTCGAACAAAATGTTGCCAATTATTTAATCGTTCGAGTAATTTATTCTGACTAAAGTACTATCCGAGCAGCTTCTTGTAACATTGCAACTGCCAAAGTAAAAACATTAGAAATATATTAATCCTAGATAAAACTTAAGGTGATTTTGGATCAATATTGCAAGAAAACCATCCAAAATATTTTACTTTTTTCCAATTTCTTTAATAAAAAGTTATGTTCAGAATTTAAACTAAGATACATTTCTCAATAAAACTATGTTAAAAATCATGAAAAAATAAGGGTCGAAACCATGTTTATACATTTATAACACAGATTACACTTAAATAAGCCTTAGGGCAAAATTAACAAAAATCTAAGAGGATGCTAAATTTTGACGACCACGCTAGAAGAATAAAGAAAACATCACATTGGCTGTTGTGCGTCATATGTGTGTTAGGTTAAGATACTTGGCTGCCATCGATGTCGATTCATATTCAGATGGGGTGCGAAGTTTCTGCCGAGAATGATTTGCAAGCCAAAGTAAGCTAGAGACACCTAATGCCGAACACACCCACTCGCCTTACAGGGACAATCTTACTGTTCCTAATCATACGAAGAATTTTTAACAAGATTTGCCTGTCAATTAAAATAATTCCTAATTAATTTAGGATTAGGCCTATTAAGAATAGACAAAAAAGAGCTAAAACTATTATACACTGTAAGTTTATACCTGACACCTTAGGATAGAAGCTAGGCTAAAAACGGTAATCTTACTTGGTTTGGTTTATTTTGTACAAAGCAAAAATGACCAAGAAAATAAAACGGTTTATTTGATCTACTTAGTTCATATACCTGATAAAGAACATTTTCCAAAAATAAGATCACTCATCAAAATTCAATCTTCAATTTTTGTTTAGACAACAACTTTGGTATCAAATCAAATGAAAAAAAACCTAGTCGTGAGTTCCGTGCTAATTTGTAAACTCACCCCTGTCTACTAAACGAACTGTTAATATTACCGTCTGTTTTGATTGTTGATACGAACCGTACTTCGGGTTTTGTCTCGTATTGAACCAAAGTTAGGAATTTGTTTGACATTTGTCTCCGATTGGTGACCTTTGCAACTAGAGCTTGCAAATAATGTTAATTAGCCTATGTTCGCGTGGAGGTAAGGTGTTCACAAGACAAACGAAAGTCTGAGAGCAACCGACCCTGAGGTAGGCATACAGTGTGTGACCTTTAATTAAGGCTACAATTTCAAAACTCATGGTTGTAAAAAGTGGAAACTTTTAAAAGGTCAACGTTTTTACTAGAGATGATGTAGATTTTTCGTTTAACATTAAAAGAAATATGTTGTGGATTTTATTATATGCATTATGTATATATTGTTTACGTAAACCCTTAGTAAAACATGTCTGAATGTTTTTGATTAAATGTAATCAAAAGTCCCTAACAAAAGTCTGGAGTATAGTCTACCATAATTAATATACTAAGTTTTGCATTTTATGGTACAGTAATTAAACAATTCTAATTAATGTTAGGATTTTTGTTTTAAAGATTTTGCCTCAAGAAACGCCTAATCGTTAGTCACTAAATATACAACTGGTATAAATTGTATGTATTTGTTAGTTTGTAAATAATAATAACAAATTGCATGGTACTTGCAATGCAGTACGAGTCTAACTAGAAGCTGCAGGCGTATTGTTCAGCCATTATGAATTCTCTACCACTAAAAGTGCGATCACCCATTCCAGGCTTTGCTTCATCAACGATTAATACACATTTAATGGTTTATAATTAGTCCATCTTTGTGAAACACTGCTGGGATTTAAATATGTTAAACGCGTATGAATAAAGTTTGATCAATAATTTCAAAACAATGGTGAACTGTATTCAAAGCTAACTTAATTCATATGCGTTTCAAGTGATTAACTAATCCTATGTGCGTATTTGTTAATTAAAGGTCAGTGATGTAGTTATTAAAATATAGTATATTATTTAAGACCTACCTGGTTTTGAACATAAATAGCTTATCTCAAAACCTCCATCTATTAATTCGATAATCTTCATTTGAAAAACATATCAAACGAAAACAATATCTACAACTGTAAACTGTCTATCACGAGGAAATTCGGAAGTTGAATAAAAACATGGAAGCTATTTTATATATTTTGGTAAAATTTGAATAGTCCACACACCTAAACAGCATTTTAAACATAATAAAACCTTAGGTAAAATAAAATTTTACTTTGAATAATTGTTTTGTCTAAAAGATTTTACTTGAAAACGAAGTAGAATATTTGAAACACCAGCAAAATAATAAATCCAAAGGAATTTTTATCATAAATATATAAAACATGAAAAATTGGTAAAAATAGATCCTGGCACTTAAAAAGTATGAAGGGTTGACAATCACAATAAAGGCAATATGGCTAAAAGCTAGAATCTTGCATCGTAAGAAAGTCTGCGATAAGTCGTGAAATATATCCCTACTCTTATTGACTTTACAAACTGCAGTCGCAAACCTTTGTTGTGTATTATATGTATCCGAAATCCAGAATTAGTCTTTTGTAAGTAGTATAACCTGACTCCAGAAGTTATCTGGACGTTCACCGAAACACTCGTCTTATCATAACTTTTTTACATCTTTATTATATCTTTAAGACTTCTTAGTATGAGTATTTTATCCTTTCCCTATTTATTGACTACATTGGCATTGAACATACTCAAAATGGCAACCAACACATTATGTTCCGTTTATGGTCCAAATATTCA